TTTCCTAGCCAAATGGTTCCCACAAAGCAAGAAATCCGAGCTCAGGGATAAAATTTTCTTCTTCAAGCAACTACCGGGAGAACACCTACATGAGGTGTGGGATCGGTTCAAGCTATACCTAGTGAGGTCGCCTAATCATGGTTTTTCGGACAAAATCTTGTTAGAAAAGTTTTACATGGGTTTGGATCCGTTGAACCAATCCATAGAAAAGAATGCGGCGGATGGATCTTTTATGGACAAAACATTCACAAGGATCACACAAATTCTCGACAACATGGCAGAACACAATCAAGCTTGGCACTTGGAAGATACCACGGGTGCAATTGCATACGGTACTCCCTCTTTGACCAACATGATTAAGGAGAACCAAGAGAGAGATCAAGTAATTGCCGGTCTTGCCACAAACACTAATGTGTTAACCAAGATGTTCACTGAAAACCAAACTAAAAAGGTAAATGTTGTGGAAGATGTGCAACCCTTATCAAACGAAGATTGCGAGGAGGCAAACTATGTCCATAATTCTCTAGGTGGTTATCATCAACAAAATCAATGAAGGCCTAACCCGCAAGGGCAAGGCCATCAACAGTGGCACAATGATCAAGGTGGATCAAGTCAAGATAATTGGAGCAACAACAACAATAACTATGCAAATCGGAGTTCAAACCCCTATGCTTCACCAAAGGGGAAATACTCTAACTCATCACATTATAAGGAAGGTTCTTCAAGTGAGTCCAAGTTGGAGAGCATGCTTGAAAGAATATTGCAAAATCAAGAAAGGGGCAACACTACAATGAAAAACATGGCCGAACTTGTGGGGTCACACACCGCATAAATACAAAAGCTAGAAATGCAAATGAGAGATTTGTCAAGAGAGCATAATCCAAAGCCGAAGGGCACACTCCCAAGTGACAAAATTGCAAACCCTAAAGGAAATGGGAGTGGTCCAACTTCTCATTGCATGGCAATCACCACGCGAAGCGGAAAGGTACTTTAAGGAGAAAATGAACAAATTGTTGGAGTAGATGATCTTGAGTAAGAGGTTGAGGCACATGTTGAAGTTCCGATTGTTATTGAAGTTGAAAAGCTCCCAAAAGGATTAAAAGTCTAAGAAGAAAATCATGAAAAGGTAAAGGAAAAGGCGAAAGAGACACCAAAAGCTCTAGCACAAATTCCTAGACCTTCCCCTCCGTTCCCTCAAAGACTTGCTAGGAGGGTTGATGATAGCAAATTTGAGAAATTTTATGACATTCTCAAGCAATTGTCGGTGAACATACCATTTATGGAAGCCTTTCAAGAGATGACGGGTTTTGCTAAATACTTAAAGGACTTGATAACCAAGAAAAGAACCACTAAGAATGAAGTGGTGAATGTGACTCACCGAGTTATCTCCATTATTGCAACAACCACCGTTGAAAAGAAAGAAGACCCGAGAGCATTCACTATTCCATGTACTACTGGCTTGCGAAATTTTGCAAGGGCTCTTTGTGACAATGGGGCTAGCATTAACTTGATGCCTTTTGCCATTTACAAGCAATTTGGGTTAAGCATGCCGAGACCTACAAGCATGAGGTTGCAAATGGCTGATCGTTCAATCAAAAGACCAGTGGGAATTATTGATGATGTCCTAGTGAAAGTGGGAAAGTTCCTCCTTCCGGCCGAATTTGTGATCCTTGACTGTGCCGTTGACAAAGAAATCCCTATCATCTTGGGGAGGCCATTCCTTGCTATCGGAAGAGCACTTATGGATTCATAACGAAATGAAATCAAGTTCCGAGTTAATAATAAAAAGGTCACCTTCCAAGCAAGTAAGGGTATGAAGTTGCCATATGCATATGAAGGCATCTCAGTCATTGATGTTGTTGATGAGGTAGAGGATGAAAGTGAAATGAAGATGGAAGAAGAATGCCTAGGTGAGGCTTTGGCGGCAATATTGGTAAATTTCGATGGTGAAAACATGGAGGGGTATGTGGAATCGATGAATGCATTAGAAGGACGTGGGAATAGAGCTTTCTCTTGACTTAGAGAATAGAGCCACTCCCCCAACAAAGCCTTCAATTATTGAGCCTCCACAACATGAACTCAAGCCACTTCTACCATACTTAAGGTATAAATTTCTTGGCTCTAATGATACTTTACTGGTAATCGTTTCTTCCTTGTTGAATGATGTGCAGGTAGATCATTTATTGAATGTCCTAAGGGAACATCAACAAGCCATTGGGTGGACAATAGCGGACATCCGAGGGATTCCCGTCAGAATCTGTGAGCACAAAATACAATTGGAGCAAGGAAGCAAACCTAGTGTGGATCACCAAAGAAGATTAAACCCGTCCATGCAGGAGGTGGTGAAGTAGGAAATCATCAAGTGGTTAGACGTCGGGGTAGTCTACCTCATTGCCGATAGTTCTTGGGTGAGCCCGGTGCAATTTGTGCCAAAGAAAAGAGGCATGACCGTTATCCAAAATGAGAAAAATGAGCTCATCCCAACAAGGACTGTAACCGGATGGAGAGTTTGAATGGACTTCCGGAAGCTCAACAGTGCCACTTGCAAAGAACATTTCCCTATGCCTTTTATTGATAAAATGCTTGATCGACTAGCGGGAAGGTCATTTTATTGCTTTTTGGATGGATACTCCGGCTATAACCAAATCAACATTGCATTGGAAGATCAGGAGAATACAACATTCACATGCCCATATGGGACTTTTGCTTTTAGTCGGATGCCATTTGGGCTATGCAATGCTCTGACTACCTTCCAACGGTGCATGATGTCAATTTTCTCGGACATGGTGGAAGATTTCCTATTAGTGTTTATGGATGACTTCTCTGTAGTGGGTGATTCCTTTGAGCATTGTCTTGACAACCTTAGACAAGTAATCAAAAGATGTGAAGAAACAAACCTTGTACTAAATTGGGAAAAGTGCCACTTCTTGGTGGATGAGGGCATTGTTTTGGGCCAAATATTTCCAAACAAGGCATAGAGGTTGACCGAGCAAAGATTGAAATCATTTCTAAGCTTCCTCCACCCATTTCAGTAAAGGGTGTCCGAAGTTTTTTGGGGCACGCCTGCTTCTATAGGTGTTTTATCAAGGACTTCTCAAAAATTGCAAACCCCATGTGCAAGCTCCTTGAAAAAGATGCTACGTTCGTATTTGATGAAAAGTGTCTCAAAGCATTTGAGGAGTTGAAAGAAAAGCTCACCACGACACCTATTATTGTCACACCGGATTTGTCTCTTCCATTTGAACTCATGTGTGATGCCAGTGGTGTAGCCATTGGGGCGGTGCTTGGTCAACGACATAACAAAATCTTTTATCCTATCTACTATGCAAGCAAGAGTCTCAATGGTGCTCAAATGAATTATATTGTGACCGAGCAATAATTTCTTGCCATTGTCTATGCTTTTGAAAATTTCGGGCCTATTTCTTAGGATACAAGGTGATAGTCTACACTGATTATGCTGCTCTTCACTATCTTATGGCGAAGAAGGATGCCAAGCCAAGATTGATTCGATGGGTCCTTTTGTTGCAAGAGTTTGACTTTGAAGTCAAGGATCAAAGAGGGACAGAAAACCAAGTTGCGGATCACTTATCTAGGCTTGAAGAAGCAGGGAGGCCAAAAGAGAACTTTGACATCAATGATGCTTTTCCAGATGAGCACATATTGGCATTGTCTGACACATTCACTCCTTGGTATGCTGATATTGCTAACTATCTGGTTAGCGACCTTGTCCCCGATGGATTAGAAACATATCAAAAGAAAACGTTCTTGCGGGAGTGTAGGCAATACTATTGGGAGGAGCCCTTCTTGTTTCGTATTTGTGCCGACAACATCATTTGGCGATGTGTTCCGGAAGATGAAGTAATGCCAATTCTCAAAGCATGCCATGACTCCCCAGTTGGGGGTCATCATGGAGGAAATCGGACGGCCGTGAAAGTGCTTGAATGTGGCTATTATTGGCCATCTATCTACCATGACCCGAATCAAATGGTCAAGGCTTGTGAGCAATGTCATAGGCAAGGATCAATCTCTAAAAGGCATGAGATGCCTATGAAGTTTGTAATGGAGGTCGAGATCTTTGATGTGTGGGGGATTGATTTCATGGGTCCCTTTGTGAGTTCTTATGGAATGAAATATATCTTGGTGGGAGTGGAATATGTCTCCAAGTGGGTTGAGGCAATCGCCTTGCCCAACAATGAGGCAAGGAGTGTGACCGCATTCTTAAGGAAGAACATTTTCATGCGGTTTGGTACTCCACGGGCCATCCTTAGTGATGGTGGTTCTCATTTCTGCAACAAGGCTTTCACCGGGCTGCTCGAAAAGTATGGCGTTAAGCACAAGGTGGCCACACCTTATCATCCTCATTTGAGTGGTCAAGTTGAAGTTTCCAACAGGGAGATTAAAAATATCCTAGAAAAAACTGTCAATGCAAAGAGGACCGACTTGTCAAGGAAGCTAGATGATGCATTGTGGGCATATCGCACCGCATTTAAGACTCCCATTGGCACCTCACCGTACCGGTTAGTCTTTGGTATGGCGTGTCATTTGCCCGTGGAGCTTGAACTGAAAGCCATGTGGACTTTGAAAAGGTTGAATCTTGGCTGGGCTGAAGCTGCTAATCTGAGAATGACACAACTCAACAAAATGGAAGAATTCCATCTTCATGCCTATGAGAGTGCAGCCATGTATAAGGAACGAATGAAGTTTGTTCATGACAAGAAGATCTGGAAGCGGGAATTCAAATTTGGTAACTTGGTCTTGCTCTTCAACTCGAGACTCAAGTTATTTCCGGGCAAACTCAAATCCAAATGGTCTGGCCCATTCAAAATTGTGAATGTGTCCCCTTACGGTGCTATTGAATTAGAGTCAGAGGACGGACTTCAAACTTTCAAAGTAAATGACCAACGGGTTAAGCATTACCTGGGCACAACATAAGACAAGCACTTGGTAGAGCAAATTTCTCTCAAGGATAGTCCAACCCCCACCACTGAGTAGCCCAAAAGGGACCAACATCGTTGTGCCGCAACGTTAAATCAAGCACTTCTTGGGAGGTAACCCATGTGTGGTAAAATTTTTTTTTTTAGTTGTCAGTGATTGAACAGGTTGACATGTGTATTAGAGTGCAGGTAGCCCAATTTACCATGAAACAGAGTGCAAGGACTAAAGCAAAAATGGTGGATCAGGGGTTTTCGGCAACTATGCAGTCGCATAATGACTTTGCGAACCGCATAGTGGTCGCAAACACGGTTAGAGAATTTGGGGAACTTAGGTCTAAAAACTACGGTAAGAGTTCAAGTTCTGCAGTCCGCATAGTAGTTATGCAACCGCAGAATACATTGCAGAATGGGGGTAAAATAACTCAGCTCTAAAATCATCGCATAACACATATGCGACCACATAATATGTTATGCGACCACTTACCCACCGCAAAACGTCCAGGTATAAATCTCTAACACTTGGCATACTGTCAACCCCACTCACACACGAACACTTAACGACTCTCACAAAATCAAAAACACAAAAACAAAAGAAACGAAAGAAAAGCCAAAAATATTTTAATCACGCACATAGATCACATATCAAGGATCGGAATTAAGGAATTTACCTCGCTCATAACTCAGATTTCACCTTCATCTTGCTTCGATATCTGGTATGTGACTCTTTCACTTTTTTTAAAAAAATCCTTTTTATCTTCTTTTTCTTGTGGATTCATTGCATAATGTCCATCGTTTGAATTGAACTCCATATCTCGTTTTTGTTCTCAAACATGTGCGGTGGGTACATGTGTGGGCGATTGGTGATTAAATGTTTGCCTACGAGTGTAGGGAATTATGTAGGTGGGAGGCTTGACCATTGTTGACTGAAGAAGATAATCTTTATGGCCTATATAATTGGGTTGTGATCCGCAAAGTCATCGCAAACAAGACCCTAGAAGGCCTAGTGATGTGAACTTATGCGACCGCTTATGCGGTCGCAAAGGTGTTTTGCGGACCGCATAGCTACCGCAAATACAATCAGTTAAACTACCTTTCGTGTGTGCAATTCTGCGATCCCTTTGCAGTCACAAAACTAGTTTTGCGGTGGTTTTTGCGATCACATATTCCCTTAAGTCTGGGGTGTGAAATTCTACGATAAGTTTGTGGTCCGCATAGTGGGTATGCGACCGCATAACCCATCGCATAAATTGTTTATCTCTGTTATTTTTCCTCCATATACTTTTTATGATATGCCCACCACTCACACACTATTTTATTGCAGGAATGGCACCAAGAAAATCTATTGAAATACGATCACCACCTGCTCATGGAAAGAAAAGAGCTGCTCCGAACCAACAAGCACAACAATCTAAACGTCAATGGCCGGAAACCACCCGCAACACTTCTGAGCACTCCTTCCAGTCTGAAGAGGAGGGGGAGCAGATGGACATCCTGCCATTAGTTGACCTACAAGCTGAAGCAAGGCAGAAGAGCGGGGAAAATTTGAGGTTTGGGGTCCTAGGCTCATGGAACCTATACAAAGAGGGGATAAGAAAGAGAAACATTCTCGAGGAGAAACAGTTAAGCCTGAATGGTCTGAAAGAGAACTACCCTCACATAATTGAAAATATTCAAAAGAGGAAATGGGGATTCTTCACGGATGCCCTAGATGATTACAATGAAACACTTGTGAGGGAGTTCTATGCTTCGTATGCTGCCTCAAGAAATGCTGAGCAAAGGAGGAATAGGATATTTTTGGACTCCGTTCTAGTTCGAGGGG